TGATAAAACACGTACAGAAGTTCTTGGCGCATTTTCCATTATTTGTTGGACATTTTCTTTTAATTCTTCAGTCCGCTTTTTAGGTCGGCCGCTTCCTTCTTTTCTTGTTACACTGCCCGTTTCACGAAAAACATTAACACAACGCTGAACTGCACTTTGAAAAATTTTGTACTCAACAACGCCGGGAAATTGATTTTGAAATTCTATGAAACATTCCTCAATAGAATACTTCCATATTCCATCAATCTTGCGTCCATTTCTAAAGTAGGACTCTATGATAAACACTTTTTGTTCTTGAGAAAACACCATTTTAAACGCTTTTTAAAACGAAAATATTCAAATTGATAGCGGCGATATAGCGCTTTGACAGATGACATTTAAGTTCATTTGCTATACGCTACGCCCTACGTCCAAATTTTCAGAACCAACTTGACCACGTTTTTATTTGAACGCTCGTTATTTGGGCAGGAATTGTTAATGAGCGCCTAATTGGACCATTCACATTGCCCAATCGTATGGACGGTTTACAATATCTCGAATTTCTTCGCAATGACTTGCCCGCCCTTCTTGAATATGTACCCCTATCTGTCCGACAGCGCATGTGGTTTTTACATGATGGGGCACCTCCTCACTTTTAGCTAAATTTTCGAGATTATCTCCATCACGTGCACGGAGTACGGTGGATTGGATGGAGTGGACCGGTGACATGGTCTCTGTGAGTGTAACAAAATTTTATTCATTTTAAAAATACGTTACTTTGCTCAGATCTATCTTTAAGTTTATTTTAAAGTAAAAACGCTGCAAATATTTTTTGCACCGATATCGGTTTAATCACAGAACTTCGGAGTTTTTTTTCCGTACGTCACCACTTTGCATTGTCACTCCATTACAGTAGACCAAATTCCAGCGAGGAGCAATTAAATACTTTTAAAAAGTTTTCAGAGTGCATATATTAATTTTTCTTTGCATTACCATATTTGCTCATGTATGTTGAACATTCCCATTTTTTTTTTTCGGATAAGTTCCGAATCACCCCGTATATAACGCTGATTTAGGTACGAATGATGAATTAACAGAGTTCATTTGCAACTGCAGAAAATCTTGAATCTTGTCATCTATTACAATCTATTTTATTAAGGCTGTTGTTATTTAGGAATCAGTCAAAAATAGGACTCAATAGTAGTAACAAATCCTTGGAGTAAGTCAAGAAATTCCTAAAAGAGCCATGGATTTTTTTCTCAAAATTTGGAAATACTCGTATTTCTCCAAAATTGACAAATGTAGGTATCAACAGTCTCTATCAGTAGAAGAAAAATCAAGCTGAAATTCTATAATATAGAGGACGTTACATTTAAAAAATTAAAGTTGAATAGCAGATAGGCTGAGCTAAACACTTTGTATAACTGGAAACATTTTTAGTAAATCTGCTACTCGGTACAATTTATTTTTAAGATATTTCTTGAAATCAATATTATGAGAGCTGGTCTGTAACAACCTGCATAGAGTAGTCTCGGTAGGTAATAATATCAGATAGCGGCCCCAGAAAGGTATTTTGAAAATGACTTGTGTGGTAACATCGGCGATATATAAATCTACCATTGACACAAATTCAGCCTCACATCTCGCTGCGTTCTGGTGATAATTGATCAAATAGACGCTAGAGCGGGTATTTTTCAAAATTGTTTTTTCGAAACCTATTGCAGCTGCCATAATAAAACAAAAACTGTTCGTTAGACAAAACATTATTCTACATTATATATTTTTTTATAGAATTTTTCTGTCTTGTTTACTATTAAAAAAAATAAAAATATTTTTTTCGAGATATTATTCTTAGTTCACGCAGGGGTACAATCACAGAAAAAATATATAATGTAGCTTACTATGTCTAGTATTACTACCAAAAAGTGCATAAATATAAAATGGGTGCAACACTATCAAAAAAAATAAAAACTTCTTATGACCATCTTAGGTACT